TTGCAAGCGAGTCTCCTACCCCTCCTGAAGAAGAGCTGCAGGATCCCGTACAGGGCAAACGCCACCAAGAAGAGCCCGACGGCGTCCTCCCAAGAGGGTCCCGACAAGCCTGGGGGGGGGGAAGAGACGGAGGGAAAACGTGAGAAACGGCCACCCCCTCCCCCCCAATGGAGGATTTTTATCTCGCCCCTCCCCCAAGGAGCTCAGTGCGGCAGGCGCCGCTCACTCCTTCCCCTGCGCCACCCTCACAACACTCCAGCGAGGAAGGCTCGGCTGAGAGACGCTGCCTGGCCCAGGGCTCCCACACAAGGCGACCCCCTCCCCCCCAGCCTCCCACCTTTCCAAACGCTTTCAACATTCACCTGGGCAAGCGAGCCAAGGTTGGCACAGGAAAGCCAAGCGCTTTGCAGGAGCTCCGCTCCTCGCCCAGACAACCACAGCCAAGCCCCTCTTGGCAGAGACCTCAACTGCTCGGCCAATGCGGTGGTTTGGCTTCATCCTTAAAAACTGTGCCTCGGCGCTTCTGGATCGGGCACAGCAAATCACCCAAACTAAAATGAGGCTAAATTTGCAAGAGGGTGTGTGAACCAACGCTCCCTCCAAGCTGCGGGGTCTTGTGAGCAAAAACTCTACTTGGGTGAGCTGCCGGAATCCAAGTGGTGAGCTATGAGCCATTTGGCTGCTGCATCCATCAGTTTGATCTGGAGCCCTCTCCCTTCCTGAGAGCTGAGACAAACAGGTGTGAGCCGGAGGCTAAAAAAACGGTGAGCTGGCTCACACTCGCTCAGCTGAGAGGGGGAACCCTGGTGTGAAGCCAGTGATAGACCCTAAAAGCAAGCCCCACATCCTGCCTGGGGAGGTCACGGCTTGCAGCAATGGCTCCATGTCCCGTCCCGTCCCCCACACCCATGGCTAAAGGAGGTTCTGGGCAGTGTTCCCTCTAAGCTGAGTTGGCGTGAGCCAGCTCACAGTTTCTTAGCCTCCGGCTCACACATTTTTGTCTCAGCTCAGGAAGGGAAGGCTCCAGAGCAGACTAATTCATGCATCGGCCCAATCGCTCACTCAACACTTTAAATGGCCAGCAGCTCACAAAGCAGAATTTTTCCTCACCAGACTCCACGGCTCAGAGGGAGCCCTGGTTCCGGGACCACCACCACAATGGCCCAGTCATGCCCCCCCCCAGCCACTGAGCCGCCAGTCAGGACCCCAGTCGCGTGCCCACTCGGGTGTTTCTTGATAGCGGGCGTGGCCCGTGGGGCCTTTTGCCCAGGCTGGCCACACAAGAGGCTTCGGTGAGTGACCGGAGGGAAGCTGTGGCAGCCCTTTTTGCGGCAGCCATTTCCTGGCTGTGCCCACCCCCACCCCCCGCATCCCGTTCCAGAATTTCGGAGGTGCCGGCAGGCTCAAAGAGGGCGCCGGAGACCCCCGTGCCGAAGCATTTCTGAAGCGCACCGTTTCCGTACAGGTTCCCCCCAAACCTCACGAGGGAGACCAGAAGCAGGAGGCCCGTCTTACACGCTCAGCCCCCCCACCCCCAGCAGGAGTGTGTGTTGGGATGGGGGGGGGCTAACGAGCGGGAGGCTCCGGGCTGCTTCTTCCTTCCTTCCCCCACCTGCCACGTGGAGCTTCACGGCCTTCTGCAGTTCCTTCTCCCCCAGGCCGGCGTGGGCCACCCCGCAGCTGAGGGAGGCCCCGTGGTCTTGGGGCTGGACGGCTCTCAGGCGGGCGTAGCTGGTGAGGCTGAAGGTGCCGTCTGGGGACTGCCGGTGGCCCGACTCCCAGGTGTCGAGGAGGGCTTCCTGGGGGGACCCGGGGCTCCTCCGTCTCCAGCTCACGGACACCCCCAGCGGGTAGTAGCCCGAGATCTCGCAGGCCAGCTCGGCGTGGCCGCTGGGGGGCACGGAGAGGGCCGTCGGGCGGAGGCTCACCCTGGGGGGCTCTGTGGGGAAAGAGGCGGGCGTTAGCAGGGCGCGGAGCTGACCTCCCCCCCCCACCAGTGCAAAAAGAGAGGAGAGGCTGGATGTATACCCCACGGCCCTTCAGTACCAGAGGGAGTCTCAGAGCAGCTGACAAACTCCTTTCCCTCCCCCTCCCCACAACAGACACCCTGGGAGGGAGGTAGAAGAAGAAGAGGAGACTGGATTTATACCCCGCCCTTCACGGCCCAAAGGTGTCTCAGAGCAGCTTACAAACTCCTTTCCCTCCCCCTCCCCACATCAGACACCCCTTGCGAGGTAGGCGGGGCTGAGAGAGCTCAGCCGATGAAGTCAAGTTAAAAATACAAATCCAAAAAAAAAAAAA